AAGCCGCGTCTTGCTCCTGGAGCCCATTTCACAGGGTGAGCCTGCCAGGCTCTCCCTGCACCACACCCACCGCCAGCCTCAGGCAGCCCATGTCATCCTGCGGCACAGACCTCCCCGGTGTCGGGGACACTCTAAGCCCTGACCCAGGCTCCCGAGGCCTGGCCTGAGCAGCTGGGCCTAGAGCACACCCCACCTTAGCGCACCAGGCGTCCCGGGGTCCCGGGCCCAGTGAGCCGCCTCCCCTGCCCCAGCCAGAGAGCAGGGAGTCTGGGGGTTGAGGATAGCTGGCCAGCCCTGCTGTCTCCCTCGGTACTAGTGTGAAGCAGAGCCCTGAGGGCGGGAGAAGGTGGGATTCAAACCGGAGAAGTTACTGATGAGGGCAGGGGGCCAGCCTTCAGATGCTGGCTGGCGCGCCCACTCACCTGTCCATCAGGCTTGACCAGAGTGTGGGACTGCGTGCCCAGGACACAGCCATCCCTGAGAAGAGTGGGTCCGGGCCCATGGCTGCTTCCCCGCTGGAGCAGGGGGATGCCCACAGCAACCGCACCACAGGGTGCTCACGCTGCGGGGGGTGGGGGGGTGCCCAGGGGCCGTGGGAGCACAAGACGGGTGCTTCCTGAGGGCTCTGAGGGAGGTGTCGGGGGTACAGTGGGTGAAGCTGGGCAAAGCCTGGGGGAGAGAGAGGCGCCGTGGGGAAAGAAGAGGCTTACATCAAGGGGAGAGGGACCCAGAGTGCGGGTCTCCTGAACCACCTCTGGAGTCTGGCCAGATCTTGAGGCAAAGCTTTAGGAGGAAGAGCTGGGTGACCAGAGTGGGGTTTGGGCAGATCTCGCTGCTGTGCTGTGGGAGGGCTGGGAACCACGGGGCTGGGGAGGAGAGGCTGCTGCAGACCCCTGGGGGTGCAGAGGTGACAGGTGCTGTGGGCAACAGAGAGAACGTCCTTCTCTTCCAAAGGACTGTCCTGATCAGGGGCTTTGGTTCACCACGCAGAACCCCCAGAAGGACTGACTGGACTCCATTTAGGAAGCGCTTTCTCAGGGTAATACCACCTCTCAGGAGGTGGGCATGACCATTCAAGCCTTGCCCTGAGTGGCCTTTCCCAGCAGGGGGTTCTCACAGGGACCACCACCAACTGAGACGGGGCAGGATCCATATGGGAACCGTTTCATTGACTCCCCACCACCCTCCGAGGTGGATACCCCAGTCCTCTCACTGTCCCGGGGAGGAAACGGAACCCCAAGAGCACCCAGCAAATAAAACCAATGTTGGGAGGCCTGGAGGCCGCTGACTCCTGAAGCCTCACAGTGACAGGGTCACCAAGGCTGGGGGGCCCTGGCTGAGACCAGGCAAGAGAGGGGTCTTCAAGACGGGCTTGAAGCACAGTTCTTTACTTAGAAGTCAGGGGTCCATGGACTTGCATAGGAAAACAAATTGTATCTGAGTCCATTAACCTCAACCCAGCACGTAGCATGCGCGTAGCCATGGCGCCTTGCCCAGGATTTCGGGGCCAGCAGCCCGTGCACCTGCCGCGGTCCGGAGGCTGCCCGGAGCGTGGCCTTCAGCGGGTCTGCCTGCTGGGTCCCATCACGTTTCAGAACGCAGTTAACCAGTTAACGCTCCTCACCGCTTCAAACTCATGGTTGAACGCGAAAGTATGTATGTTTGAAATGGTTTAACATTTCGGCAACTGTATTTGAATATAACGGGTTTCCATAATTCTACCAGCATTTGTGTTCTCAAAACAGTATTTGGAGAAAATACTTTTGGTTCCACCAGCAAAGGGGCCCGCAGCACCAGGAGGGCTGAAGCTGGTGGTTCAGGGTCTGGTTCAGGGTCGTCAGCCTCCTCCTGGGCTGTTCCCAGTGTGGGCTCTGCCCAAGCCGCCCTCCCCGCCGTGGGGAGAGGCACCATCAACTGACGGCAGCCAGGGACCCCTGGAGCCCTTCCCCGTGTGAGCATTTTCCACAAATCTGCCCAGCCGAGCACATGCTGCCTTCCTGGTGGCTCTGGGTTTGCCCAGTGACCCCTGAGCTGGGCAGCGGGGGGCGGGGCAGTTAGTCCTCAGGTGGCCTCGTCTGCTGGGTACTAAATAAGCACAGGAGGATGGGATTTTTCCTGCCCCATCCCTGTTGTCTACCACCATTCAGCCACACCTCACTCAGGACTGCAAAGCAGAGGTTGGCAGCCATCTGGGCTCTGGGCTAGAAAGTGCTAGCCCTGTTGGGTTCACATGGAGCTGCTCACACACGCCCCCCATCTGACCTGTCCTGGAGCTTATATTGTCTGTGACTTCTATCTCTCTTTTGGGGGCTTTGCAACAGAGGACATCACCTTTGTGGGCCCAGTCCCTCCTCTATAAAGCAGGCTACATGAGATTTGCATAGAATCATGCTTCCACTGATGCATCCATCCACTCGAACATCCACTCACCCACCCATCCACCCACCCACCCATCCATCCATCCACCCATCCATCCATCCATCCATCCATCCATCCATCCATCCATCCACCCGTCCACCCATCCATCCAACCACCCATCCATCCAACCACCCAACCACCCACCCACCCATCCATCCATCCGTCCATCCACCCAGCAGTCATGGGGGCTCCTATATATGCTAGAAGAGGAGGCAGAAATAACATAGTCAGCCTAACAGGGTCCCTGCCCACCTTCATTCAGTGTCATCTCCTTCACAGTCCCCCACTGGCCTCCCTCTAGCTCTCTGGTCATCCTACAGATTCCCGGAAGCCTGGAGGTAAGACTGCCTCAGGGCCCCTTACATGGAATGTTCTCCCCCAATATCCCCAGGCGCAGCTCCTAACGGGTCCCTCAAATGCAGCTTCCCAGAGACCCCCCGGGACTGCCCCACGGGCCACATCCATTGAGGACTTATTGATCGTCTCCCGTAGGTTCCCAGAAAGCAGGGCAGCTGTGTAACCCCCACGTGGCCCCACAAGGACTTGTAAGGGAGGGGGGAAGGATGACAGGTCTGACGGCAGTGGTCTCTAGAGGGAGCAGCATGGGACAAGCACGGGCAGACACAGCACCCCACCCCCTCCTGCTGCAGCCACTTCCTCCTTGGCTCCTTATCTCCCAGCTCTGAAAGCCACAGCCAACGTCTGCTTCCCCACAAGCACCAACTGCCTGGCCAGGGAGGGGAGGGCATGGAGTGGGCAGGTGCCCCCAAGGTGCCCACCAAGGGCCTGGGCACTCCTCACCCCCCACTCGGGGAGACTACGCCTTCCAGCCCAACCCCCAAGAGCCCTGCCAACTAGAAAAGCAGGCCAGACAGGAGGCCTCTTCCCGAAAGTGGAAGTGTCCCATCTGTGGGGGGTACTCCCCGCAGGTGTGAGCCCTGAGCATCTGACCCGGGGCGGGGGCTGTCCCGCCGAGGGGCTGAGCCGATGGTCTCTGCCCCCAAAGCTTTCTTCCCACCAGCTTGGAGGGGCCTCGCGGAGCACAGGTGGGAAGAGCAGGAGGGACGAGGTCCCCGAAGGCTGCTGGCCGAGGGGCAGCCACGCGGCAGGGCCCTCCCTGCAAACAGGCCAGGCCTGAGGCCCCGCCAGCACCGCCCTATGCCAGGGAGGAGATCAGCCACGGCAGGGCAGCCGGGTTGGCCCTAGGACGCTCAGTCCCACCCTGAGTCCAAGCACCACAAGCGAGGAGGGGCCGTGAGGCACAGGTGGGGCTCAGGGCCAGGCCCCGGCTCACAGGATCCCTCTTTCCCTGGAACCTTAGGGGAAGGGGCTCGGGGGTAGCCCACCCTGTGGGGTGGACACGCACGGGGCAGAGGCTTCCAGGAACAAGCAGGGTCTCGTCCCTGCACCAGCTACAGACGGACCCCCACAGAATCCGCCGTGATGACGGTGGGCCCAGGAGACGGCAGCCAGGAAACACCACGAGTGAGGGCCTCACTTGGGGCTGCCGCCCTTCTGTACGACTTGAAGGACTCACCACATGCAGGCATTACCCACGGATTCGGTGTGAGAGGGTCAGCATAGCCCAGAACCCTCCAGCCAGCCCTGGGCCGGCCGGCTGCACACCTCCGGCCGCCATCCAGCCGCTGAGCCTGCCGCTGCAACTGGACGCTCAGGACAGCCGCCCGCGGGCCAGTGCCGGGCGTGGGGCACGCCGTCTCCTGCACGAGGCCCCCTGTCCCCCGCTGCCGTCCCAGTGCTGCCTTCAGCACGCGGCCTTTTTGTCGCCTGTGGTGGAGTGTCCAGTGGGGATGGGGCCCGGGACACAGGGGGTCTGAAAGGTCACAGAGGACTCTGATACGGTTTCTGGAACCCCTCAGACCGGGGGGATATCTCTAGTACCCTCAGCACATCCCAAACAAATCGGCCACTGTCCTCCCAGGGCGCCCGTCAGGAAGTGGGGAAGGGTTTCCCGGGAGCCCCCGGCCAGGAGGCCAAGTACAGAGAGAGGGGTCTTTGCCTGGCCTGTAGCGGTCCTTCCCGGGTGGGTGGGGGCCAGGAGGCCCTGGGCAGCCGAGGGAGAGCCCAGGAAGCCGGGATGGGGGGGCGCGGCTGGTCAGGGCGCCCACCGAGTCTGCCTCGGGGGCAGGGCCAAGGCTCAGGGAAGCGGCCCCAGAAAGGTGGGCTCTGGGGAAAGTCTGGCTGAGGAGAGGGGAGGGACAAGAGGCATAAACCATGCAGGACAGACACTGTCCCCCCAGCCCTGGTCGAGGAAGCATGGGCCGCCTGGGCTCCAGGTGGGTGGGGTGTCCCCCGGCTGGCGGCAGGAGGAAGTTGTTGGAAGTCAGACCGGAATGGCCGTGAGGGAAGGCCGGGCCGGGCCGGGCCCAGATGGTTCCTGTTGAGGAAGCGGTGGGCACAGCTGCCTCCTCAGCCCCCAGCCGCGCTATCACGGTGACACAGCTGGCTGCCCCGCCTGGGCTGCGGGGAGACCTCCCCCACCGGCGCCTCCCCGGCCCGCCCTGCATCACATGAGCCCCTCCAGCCTCCCGCCCCTTCCCCAGGCTGGCGGGCAGCGGCTGCAAGAAGACCCGGAGCTCTGTGGGGCAGAGGCCTCCGGCGGTGAGAGAGCCGGGCTGGCTGCGCCCCCTCGTCCTTCCCTCAAGGCCCCTTGAGGTCAGGAAGGGCACGCCCCACCTTCGTCGGCCCCTGGAAGGCGGCCCACCTCTCACTCAGCGCCAGGATTGACTCCCAGACCCACGTCCAGACCCATGTCCCAGGCATCCCCGCAGCTGGACGGCGGGCTCCCAGTGTCCACCAGCTGCTGCGTGCCCCAGGGTCCCAGGAAGGGCGGCCCAGGTAAGAGGACGGCGGGGAGGACCGTGGGAGCAGATGGCGGGAGCGTGACATCTCCAGGCCGCCGCTTCCTGCCTGGCTCTGTTGACAGCTCGGGCCAGCCGTATTGACTCACCTCAGACGCCAGCACAGCCTCGCCCGGGCACACTCCCACACAGCTGGGACAGGTGGCCTCGGGAGGACCTGGCAGGTGCCGGGCTGGGTGCGGGCGCCCCTCCCTGGGGCACAGGCTAGAGGGGGCCCTGCTCAGGCCCATCTAGGAGGGAGTGGGCTCTGTCCTCCTCGCGGGCAGGGTCCCGGGACTTGGTGAGGAAGGTGGTGTGCAGGCAAGTGGAGGTGCCCCTCCTTCTGGGAGGACCCCAGGATTTAGGGGTGGGACAAGGACACTGAGGCCACAGGGAAGAGGGCCTGGCCCAAGGCCCCTGGATCAAGTGACGGTCCAGGACCCAACCCCGGTTCCCACCGATAAGCACTCTCTGCCAAGACTCCCGCCCTTTGGAGCCAGTGCCGGGGAGGGGTGGGGGCAGGAAGGGCCCAGGCCTTGCACCCCACCCCCGGGCTGCAGCTCTGGGCAGAGACCTCTTGGACACTCCCGGCCCCACTGCGAGGTCCCGGGGGCCTCATAGGACCTCATCCCAGGACTCAGGGGGCGGCCCCGCTCCCTAGCCCCGCCACGTGGCCACGCTCCAAGGAGCCTCTGGAACCTCCCAGAGCTCACAGCCCCAAGTCCCACTGTTGCAGCCATGTCCGGAGTCCACATGGGCCCTGACGCCCCTGACGCACCTCTACAGGGGTCACCTTTCCCACCCTGCTGCTGTCCAGGGGCCCAGGGCCAGCCCCTGACACGGGGCTCCACTGGTCACCTGGACCTTCCAGATGGAACACCGGCTGTGCAGAAGCCCACTGGGCACCCAGCGCGCTGTCGGCCCCCACCACGTGCGGGGTCCGGAGCCGCCACAGGGAGGTGCCAGCCCTGGACACGGTCCCCTGCCCCTCAGGCCGGCCTGGGGCTCTGGTCCTGTCCAACTGCTACGGGTACTACACGCCCCCTCCCTCCCTGGGGCAGTCCCCCCGCCCCGGAGCCGGCAGCCTGCTTCTGCCACAGGGCCCTGGGTCCAGCCCTGCCTCACCTGGGCCTCAGTTTCCTCGTGGGTCAGATCCTGTCCTCCCACCCCCGAAGGCATATCGGAGCAGCTTCCCTGAGGCCAGGGAGGGCAAGGGCAGACGGGGTGTGTGTGAGGGCCGCTGTAGCTCTTCTGTGTGAGTGGGGGGCCGGGCTAACCCGTGGAAGGAGTCGGAGGCCGGGAGGTATCGTGCAACGCGGCTGTGCACATCATGACAGTGTTGGCGGGCTGCGGGCACTGAGAGCCGACTGTCTGGGCGGACCCTGATGCTGAATCCCCGCTGCTGACTTACTGGCCCCGCAGTCCCCGCACCCCGAGCTCCCTGCTCCCTCGGGGCCTCACGGAGCCCTGCATACTTGGCTAGTGCGTCGGGCTGGCGGCTTCTGTGGGCCCGGGGTTCCCAGCCCTGGGATGCTCTGTCCCGTAGGAGTTCACACTCTGTCTTCCCTTAATCGCCTGGACCTGTGGGATGGTCACAGCCATGCTGGGGGACGTGGTGGCCCTCGGCCGGCCCAGGCCCCTGGGGCTCTGCGACACCGGGCGGTAGCAGCAGGTGGGGCCCAGCCAGGGGGCCTTTGGAGGCCTGGGGGACGGGCCTATGGACAGCACAGTGTGACCTTGAAGTTTCTGGGGCCCACAGGCACCCCAAGAATCCATGAAAACCTTGGAGACCCCAAAACATATGAAGTGCTTCTAAACTGTGAACAAAACAGAAAGTAACACCCCCAGTCGGTGAGCAAACGTCTCCGAACACCGCTTGGTGGGATGCAGGCGCCGGGGGTGGGGGCAGGCAACGCTGCACCTCCGGCCACCAGACCCCGCTGCTGGGCACTGGGCTGGCCCCTGAGCAGCCTCTCCACCAGACCCCAGTCCTGGCCAACCTGGCACCACCTCTGCTGGTGGCAGAGGTCAGGACCCCACGAGGTGGTGGACCCGCTCTGCGTCGTGGGAAGGGACGGCCCCCTCTAGAGGAGTGTTCACTTCACTCGGATTTATTAGGCGCCTACTGTATGCACTGGGAGCTGTGCTGATTCCAGCAGTGCAATCTGCACATGGGGAGATTGAAGGCCGGGCTGCCGTGCCCCCTGCAGAGCAGGAGGTGGGAGCCAGGACACCTGCGCAGGGGCCAGGTCGGAAACCCTGAAGGCCCCCGATGACTCCTGGAGCAGGGGATGCTGGAGGGCAGCTTACCGTGACCAGCCTGGTGGGAAACTGAGTCAGGCCTGCTTTGTGTCACCAGAGAGGGAGGAGGTGGGGTCTGCGTGGCAGAGCACAGCCCGTGTGACCAGGGAGAGAGCGAGCATCCCGTCCCTGGAGGAGTCCAAGTAAATGCAGGCTGGGGCAAGCATGGGTGTGGGCAAGATCCCAGGGCAGGTGCCATCCTGAGCTGGATCGGGGTAGAGCTCGGGGTCAGTGGGTAGGGTGGGCTCAGAGGCCACCACAGTCACCAAGAGCACAGGCTCGTCCTCCCCATCACACGCTCCCGTCCCCCTCCAGCTTCCCCAGGGGCCACGGGCCCTCCAGCATGCTCTCGGCTGGGCATGCCCTCCCCCACTCTATCAGTTTCCTGGGACAAATTACCTAAGCCAGGTGGCTTAGAAAAGAAGTCTTGTTCCCTCCCAGGCCTGAAGCCAGAAGTCCAAGACTGAGGCAAGGCCAAGCCCCCTGCTGAGGCTCCCACCATGGCCACGTGCCTCCAGCCTCTGCCTCTGCCTCACACGGCATCTCCTCTGTGTCCCTATGTCCTCTCCTCGCCGTGGAAGGACACTAGTCGTTGGATGTGGGGGCCCTCAATCCAGGTGACCAGATCTCCAGCTGTTCCATCTGCATCCAGGCAAGGCTTGGGGAAAGGTGCCCAGAGCCCATATGGTCCACCTCTGTCAGGGCCCGAGGTCAGGACCTGGGCACAGGGCCTCCAGCTGCAAGGGAGGCCTGGGGCCCCCAGGGGAGCAAGGCTATCCCTGGCCTAGCCCACACCATCCCCACTCATCACTCAGCCACAGTCCCTGGCCATGCTTGCGGGACTGTCAGGACACTGGTAGACTCACACAGGGAGGCCCTGGGCATCTAGCCGGAGGTGTGCAGGAGGCCCTCTCTGTAGTGGGAGCCAAGGGCCAAGCCCCTCAGGGCACCTGACCTGTGACCCTGTCGTGGCTGTCCACCTGCGTGCGTCTGTGTATAAAGTACTGTTGACAACTTTTTGGTTCCATATTGTCTGTGCTGTCACCACGCGAAGGATGGCCCCATGTCCCTGCTTGGCTCACACCCTGCGGGGGACTTTTCCCTTCACTCAGCCCCCACCAAGACCGGAGGTGACAGACCCCATCCCCTACCTCCTGCCCCCCTAAACACAGTGCCGGGGGCTCCTACGGCAGGATTGCCAACGCCTGTGTGACAAAGTGACTCCCATCATGGAAAAAGATACCAAAGTTCCCGGGGGCACACAGCAGGCGAGAGCAGGGACTCTGAGGCCCTGATGGACACAGGACCCGTTTGGGCGTTTGGGGCGGTCAGCCAGGTCTGTCAGTCCCGGCCGGGACCCAGCATCCCCGAAGAGGGACAGAGTATGGGTGGTTTGAGGGGAGCCATTTGTCAAGGTCACAGGTTAAGCAGAGGTCTGGGGGCTGACACCCCCCCTTAGGGGTGAGGAGGGGCGGGGGACGGAGCCGGGAGAGAGCCCAGGTGGGGGAGCCAAGCAGAGCTGTTGGGAAGTCTCAGGAGACACGCACCCTTGTCTCTGTCCCAGCCTCTCCCAAGGTCCCCAGGCCATCCCCCAGGGCACAGAGCATGGTAGCAGAGCACAGCTCTGGGCAAACAGGAGCTCTGGACTCGGTCCAGAAGCCTGGTCCCCCAAGTCTCACGTCAGGACGAAGAGGAAGCCGGTGGAGAGCAGACTCTGCTTCCTGGGGCGGGAGCTGGGGGGGTGGGGAGGAGGGCTCCCTCCCTCCTGCGGTAAATGTGGAGTGTCCCCCCTGCCCCCGGGAACTTCTCTTCCTGCTGGAACGTGCCCGTCCCTGGGCCATGCCATAGCATCCTCGGGCAGGCCAGGAAGGCCGTCCACTGAACCCTGACTCTGAGCCCAGGAGGCCGGAGCCACAGGGTGGGTGTGATGAAAGAGGGCTTCCTGGAGGAAGCGGCCCCAAAGGGGCAGCTGGAGGAGGTGAAGAAGGCTTTCACTTCTCAAGGTATCTTGCCTGAAAAGAGAGGCGTCCTCCTCAACCTGGCTCAGCACCCAGCTGTGCGGGGCTTTCTCACCCACTTTCACTTCCCGACAGTTGTTGGGGGAGGCTCAGCCAGAAAGAGTGGCCCCAGGGAGAGGCCAGAGCCCCTTGGCCCCAAGCCAGGACTCTCCCTCCAGTGCTCCTTCCAGAGACATCGCTCTGGATGAGGCCGCACTGGCTGTCAAGGGATGGAGAGGGCGGGGGGCGGCTCCTGGGGAAAAGAGAGGCCTCTTGGAGAGCCACCCACCCTTGGGGGAAACTCCAGGCCAGCCGAGGTGCCCGTGGACTCTGGGTCATTCGTAGCGATTGTTATGGGGCTGGAGGTCAGACTGCAGCGGGCGCTAGTGAAATTATCATTATTAAAGCGCCATGTGTGTGGGGCGGGCCAACCTCCCAGGGCGATCTCCAGACAGCTGCCCACAATGCCAGGGGGCATCGGTGGGGACATTTCACGTGGCACTTTGCCAAGCTGCTTTGTCTTTAGTCGTCTGCAAGAGCGAGGCTGTGAAACGTGAAGCTGGGTCACCTCGCACCGGCACGCATGCCCTCCGGGGGTTTCTACCCTCTCCACCTGGCTTCCCACTCTCGCTCTTGCCCTTCCAGCCCCTGGGCCTTTGCATGTGCTGTCCCCGCCCCCCGAGAGCCTTTCCCTCAGGCA